CAAGGTGAATGCTTCTTTTTTTTTCATTTTGTTTCTCTTGGCTCTTCTAAAAGGAAGATCAGGATGTGTTTTACTTTGGAGAAATGAAATTGGCATCAACTTTGTCTGAGAAGACCTCTCTGCAATGGAAAATGAGCAAATAAACCAGTCACTAGATAGCTTTCTCTGAACAGACTAATGGCTATACTGTGCTGAACAGTGCACTTCTGAGAGGAAATGGGGAATACACCGAAGTGACCTCTTTGACACAAATGCTCCAGAGTTTGTCTACTCTGATCATTGCTCAGACATATTTTATCCAAAGTCATCTTCTTTGCTGTGGCAAAATTTCAGAGCTTGTTTTATCCAAGAATTCAAGCAATGCTGATCTGGGTTCCCATCCACTCGTGCAGTATGAGAGTTTAATCATTCATGAAGGCATGAGTTTGTTGTTTTGTGTTGAATAAATATCTATGCATGACAAAAGATATGCAAGCAATATGTTTAGAGGGGAAGACAGCATTTTTCAGATGATTATGGCACTTTGCTTTCAGTCTCATGGTGCACAGAACTCCTGAACACATGCTCCAGCCATCCAGAAACCCCTATCTATTGCAGTTAATTATTGTACTAATTTTTGCCATACTTTAGTTGAGTGCTCATTGTAGATTCTCCTATCCACTCATTATTCAGAACAATTCCCAAGTCCTTTCAATGAATGATATTCCAAACCATAGGTTATTGGAACTATGAATTGCAAATATTTATAATGAATTACACAATTTGTGCTGCAGCCAGGGAAACAAACCTTTGTATATGACATGTGAGTTGTAATCTCAGCCATCGAAAATGAATAGGGCATGAATTTCAGACTGTAGCCACACCTGCAGATTTCAATTCACCATTTGCGTGTGTCCTGCCTGAATTTTGCAGTTCTGATACACATCAGAATTGAAATAGGTGAATACCCAGGGGGGGAAAAAGGGCTTCTGGCAATTCCTACACTTGCAGAAAGCAAACCTGGAAAACAGGCAAATCAAAATTTTCTTTGAAAGATGAATATTTAATTCTAATATTCTTTCCCATTGTACACATAGGTCCAGCTCTAACCAAATCCTATCCCCCGGCTGTTTGTGACATCTTCAAAACACATTTTGTGCCACATCTTTACCTCTCCCAAGGAAGAGGTGGCTCTCCTACCAGCTGATGGCAAGTTCAAGAACAAAATGGGCGACGGGAAATCCTTTCCCCATCTTCTGGTTCATAATTTAGGGATGAAGTGGGGTGGTTGCCAGGGGATTAAGAAAGCCATGGTCACCCTACAATCATGGTCGAGTCACTGTGCAGTCTCCTCCCTTACCCCATCGCCACTGTGGTTGTGTCTGGCCCCAGGTGTGCTGTAAAAAGTCTCTCCCTGCCTGGGTCACCCAGAGTACCACAGTCTTCACAGATCCCTTGAAAAATAAAAGGAATGAGAACTGTCTCCCAAGCGGTCTCTCAGTCTGTGTGTGGTGAGGGCATCTGCCTCTTCTCACGGCACTCTGCTCCTCCTTCTTCTTTTTTTCCCATTCCTAATATAAATGCGAAAAATCCCAAAATGGGAATGTCAGAACATTATGACACTAAAGTTATCAGAAGAAAAAAAGATGAAATGCCTTTCTTTCCTGGAAGGCACTCTCACAGGTCAGATGCATCCAAGAGCACAAGCCTGAATTTTAACAGTGACAAACATATTCTTGCATGTGCAAACGCACCGATGAGATGATTCTGAGCAAGGACAGAATGATTTGGACAGGTAGAGCTGAAGGAAAGTTCAGATCTTCTCAAGATTGGAAGTGGAGAGGAATTAGAAATCCCAGACCTACTGTCAACCACTCCCTTTGAGGCTAAATGACTCACATCAGTTTAATACAAAATTGCAGATGTCTGTGGGTTTTGGGGGAGGAACCCTGCCCTAGGTTCAGCACAAGGTCTGTCCTTCTCTTCAGTGCTCTCACTGCCAGGGTACAAAAAGCAGCTGTAAAATGCACAACTTGCACAACTTCCCCATTTGCTGAAGCTCTTGGTCAGAAAGAAACAGATTTGAGGTTGGAAAAGAAGTGTGTGAACCAGGCCCAGCCCCTGTGCAGCTTCTCAGCTGGGCTGGTATGAAGCCAACTCATACAGGAAGGTTTCAATATTTCAGCTGCTGTGCGCAAACCCATTGTATTTCCAAGCTAGTAAAGAAATGTACATCTTGACAGAACCTGCATCACTAAATTTCTCTTCCAGCCATGCTGGGTCCAAACTTTTTTGTATTTAAGAGAGAAGCACTGAAGAAATAAAATTCCTCAAGCGAGATTAACTACCCAAAGACTGCAATTAGTTGGTTTTGCTTTAATCCCCACACCTATATCATCATCAGTGCATAATCTGCAGCAGGGAAAGAAGTCACGCTTTTCTCATCGGTTACAAAGCTGAGGAAAACAGAAAATAATTGCTCTCTGAAGTGCTACTGTGCAGAGCTGCATCCCTCTGACATGCAGAGGAAGGAGGGGATGTGGCAGTGGGAGGTAAGTTTCTTCTGCAGCGCTGGAGCAATATTGGAAAGGCAGAAGATAACCTGACTTGCACATGTACTATGCTGAAGAGAGGCAACATGCTCTTATCCATAAAAGTACTCACAAAGGCTAGAAGTGGACAAGATGCCCTATGCAGATTTGGTTCTTATGGGGCCTTTTATAATAGTTGTTAACATCTATACTGACCGGATTGTTATACATTTCCATGGATAACTTGTATGTGGGAACGGAGTGGTACAGGTAGGAGGGAGGAAAGCCTTATCTCCATGCTGGGATCCACCATTTACTGCAGTCCACCAGAGCCTCCCCAGTTGGCCAGGGTGGCCAAGATCACAGCCACCTCTAGCTTTGGTGGGAAGGTGACTCCACATTTGCTTTGGCCATCGCAGGGACATCGATTTGTTTAAAAAAAGGCTCTGAATGAGGAGTTTGTCAGCTCAGGGACACTCAGAACAGAATGAAAGAAACCCCTAGCAGCTCAGCCCTCCTGGAGGTGTGCAAAGCCCCCCTGACTGCTCGCTCGCTGAGGAGCCCATCTCTGCCATCCAGCATCCCCAGGGCAGTGCTGGCCTAAGCCTGCCTGTCCCACAGGGCACAGGCAGGATGATGAGGTCCCACAGCAAGATAAAACAGAGCAGATTTATCTGAAAAAGCAGAGAGACAACTTGGAGACACGAGGAGGCACTGGCACCGCCATCTGCAACACTTGGAGGTCAAACATCCGCATGGACTGAAGGAATTCACTTTCTGCGCTGACATGCTCCCTGCCCTCCACATCTCAAACCCACACCTAAGAGAGGCTCCCTGTTGTCTCTCTGCCTTGTATAATTAACAAGAGGTATCTTGTTGCTGTGCTTATTAGCCAAAATAGACACCACTCTCTCTTTCTTTGTGTTTAGGCACCGGGCTGGCCCCGGTTAACCAGGGATGGGAGAGAGCCCTTCCTCTCCTTCTCCATGCAGGGATGAATTTCCAGCATTTGCCCCTGCAGCTTCCCAGCCAGAGGGACCAGCTTGCTCGCTGCGGGATGGCGCACTGCATCCAACAAGGGCTGCTCTCTTGATCCTCCTAACTGCAGCAGAGGAGCATCTGGCTTGTCCCGGGAGCACAACTCTGATAGAAACACAGGCTGAACATAGCACGCATCCATCACAGACAGAAGGCTCTGGGACCACAGCCCGCAAACAGTTTTTAATCAGCAGAAGGTAAATATGCTGTAATGTCCTTCATGACTTAAAACGCTCGAGAGGTCTATCTTAAGGTTGTGACAAGCACTGCCTCGTCTCCCATCCATTATACAGCTCAGGATTCTTTCCAAAACTTCAGAGATCGTTGCAGAAGGGAGCTGGCAACCAGCAGATCAAACTCAGCTAGGAAGTGCTCAGTGTCTGATTTAGTCTCTGGATTGGTTCAGCTCTGAACACAAACGTGGTTACCAAGTCCTCATCTGCATGTGAAGAGCCATGAATTAATCTACTGAAAGAACCAACTCTCCTCTAGACAGTTGCATAGAAACATCTATGGGTTTTTTTAAAGATTGCAGTTTGTTCTGATATTATGGGAGATAATTGTTCTTCCCTGTCTTCCTCCCGTGCTCTGCCTCCCACCTCTCTGCTCAGGGAGAAGAAGACAGGAGAGAGTGCCTGATACCACAGAGCCCTCCAAACCCCTCTGTATCCCCACAGCACACAGCCCACACACTCTCTCTTGCAATGAACACTGTGGTACTCAGTGAAAGGTGGGGTGTGTGAGGCATGGGGTTCAAATGCACTGGGACCTCAAACTGCCAACCACCAGGACTATGTTCTGTAGCCCATGTGAGGCACGCTCAGCTCCCAGGGCTCCCACAGAGCTGGGTGTCACTGCTTTGCACAGGGGAAGGCTTTGACTGGGTTACAGTAAAGGGCAGACACCCCAGCATTTTCTGAACTGTTAAAACACCACAGCAAGTATCCCTCCTCTCAGAGAGCCATTGAAGTGCCCCAGGCGGGGCAAGCAATTTGGGGAAGTTCATCCTTTACCTCTCATTAGTTCAGAAGATGCAGCAGTGGCTGGTGGGGCTACAAAGGCAGAACCTTAGAGGGGGCAACGGGGGTCAGGATCCCTTTGCTAGAGAAGATGGGAGTGGGCAGCTTCCCTCAAGGTGCTCCCTGTGGAGTCTAGCTGCTGCACCCAGACCAAACAGCACCACTTGCCAAAATGCATAATGACTTCTGCATTGTCCCAGCTCTTTCATGAACACACCTCTGGAGAAACTGCACACGTCTAAACTCTAAACTTATCTACTATTTTTTTGAGCCCCCTAAGGATTTCTGGACACTTCTCTTGCACTGTCTCTTTTTAAACAATTAATCCATCATATATTTCAAAGGCAAAGTGAAACCAATCCCTTACAAAAACTCTGTAGAAGTACTCTTTCTAGTGACTCCAGGCATCTTTCAGTACCTGATAAACACTCACCTTAGTACATGAGTTGACCCATTTATTGTGGTGGTGGAACAGGGGACCGTCTGCCCCAAGATGGAAGGCCTTCGGTATCGCTCATCACCACAGCACAGGATGATGAGGAAGGCACGTCTGAAAGACTTGTTCAGGAAGGCGTAGAGGAAAGGGTTCAACCCTGAATTGATGTAGCCCAGCCACAGGAAAGCTGTCCACAGCTTTCCTGGCACCGTGTAGTTTATGAAAGGGTCCACTATGTTTGTGATAAAGAAGGGGGCCCAGCACAAGCAGAAGCATCCCATGATGATGCACAGGGTCTTGGCAGCTTTGGTCTCAGTCTTCATGCGGTGCGTGCTGTGCTGGTCCGGGTGGTGCTGCCGGCCGTCGGTGGGGGCCCCCGCACGCTGCAGCACCCGGATCTGTCGGGCGTGCTCCCTGGCCGTGACGTAGATGCGGTAGTAGGCCAGCACCATCAAGAGGAAGGGAATGTAGAAGGCCACCACGGAGCAGGTAATGGCGTATGGCTTGTTGACCATGAATATGCAGTAAGTGGAGTTGGAAGCCTTGTTGAACTGCCTTTGCTGGATCTGGGGCATGGAGAGGAAGGACAAGGACAAAGAAGGGAAGAAGTTCAGCATTGCTCCTCTGATGCCAGCATTCTGTTTGCTAGGATACCTCACCACCGCATTCCAATTCTCTCTCCTCCCTCTCCTCTCCCACCGATGGTACCTGCCTTACCCGCTGCTGCCCCTCCTGCCTGTGCTGACAACAGGGGCTCTCCAGTCCTACTGGTCCCCAGGTCTGCAGAACCAGCCCATGTTGCAGCTCCGGCATCCTACAGCATGCCTCAACCTGGGCAGTGAATTCTCAGTTCAGACACAGCGAAGGGGAGTAACTTCACTCCATGCCATGCTTTTTTGCAGTGCTCATTGCTGTCTATCAAGCTGTGGTTTTACACCAAGGATGCACAAGTTTCACACAGCCAAGTCCCACTGGGGTCTTAGAGAAGGACCAGATGGACAGAGAAGGGACAGGGCTGCAGCATCTGCAGGCAGCTCCAGGCTGGGGGTGGCACTGAGCTTCCCAGGCACAGGGGCTGTGGGCAGCAGCCCTGGCAGGAGAAGTCTGAAGGCTGAGTCTGTAGGCTGAGATCTGGTCCATGACTTGTAATGGAAACAGAGAGGAAGAAAGGGGTCTTGCATGTGAGTTTGGGGAGCAGTGGGCATAACAGGGACAGACAGCATTTCTCTGAGGCTATTCTTGCTACAAAACAGTATCACTGCAGATCCAACAGACCCATAATTTCTGGTGTTTACTCCAAGAAGAAAATAACCCTGTCTCCTATATAAAACTATAATATCAAAATTATTTATTAAATTATTTCAATTATTTGTTTAAATTTATTTATATAAACTGAGCAAGTAAGGATGTTTACCTCTAAAATAAACTATGAAGCATTTTCACTAGGTGGTGTTTGAACCTTGCACTACCTCTCAGCATGCATCTACTGCACAGTGAACGTCAGCAAGTGACAAGGAAGGGCAGGGCTTGCACTGGTGTTTATAAAGTCTGGTACAGACAGATGGGTGTCAAGTCTTTTCTGAAAAGGTGGGGGCAAAAAAATGAGTGGAAGAAATCAGATACCTGACATGGTTTGCTAAACAAAATGCTCCTCCCTTTTCTACCAGCTGCATGTCCTAAACGTGCTTGTCTGGAAGCAATTTTGGCTTTATCACCTTGTCTGGAGGCTTGGCAGCTTGCACCTGTTACTCTCCATGAGCCAAAAAGATTGATATCTCCTTGACTGAGACTTGGCATAGAAGATGCCACATTTCTTTAAACAAGCTCTTCTACATAAGGTGCTTTCACAGTTTGCCATTTTTTAACCCCTGCATTGCCAGCTTGGAAGAAGAGCATATCTGCAGCTCTTAACTCCTTGCCCTGCAAATGGGATCCTGCAAGCACAGCCAGACTGCGGTGGGAAAAACTGACTCCTGCTGAAATTACTTGTATGGGGGAACTTCATCTTCTCCCCCACATTCAAGGCTCACACCAAGACAGGGAATATTGATGGGACTGGCCCAAAGCAGCATTCCTTCTGGGGAACTCTGGGTTTCCCAGCTCTCCAAACAAGTCACTAGTATGACAAGGAAGGACCACCGGGCTCAGCCAGCAGTGGCCAGCACTCCCCAAGAGCTGCAGAGGCCAAGGGGAACCGAGGACTCCTGAGGTGACCATTGGGAGCCAGCTGGGGCTTGTCCTTTCAAAGGACTACTCACTGAACTGATTAGAAGACGTGGGTAAAATTCTCTCCCAGAGCCACCACTGTCTTTGTGACAGTCCTTCCAGGACAGAGTCATTTCAAACCCCCTTAAAGGCACTCTCCAGAAATTCAGCAGCCCCTCTGCATTGGTAACAAGAAGCTGCTTCTTCAGCCTCTCTTGCCTTCTTTTCTCTGAATATTGTTTTTAAAAGAAGAATATAGAGCACCAAATATATTTGATAGCAGGTTGGTGTACCTCCTTAGCCACTCACCAGATCAATGATGCCAATGCTATTCCAGCCTTGCATGATAGGGAGGAAAGAAATAAATGTTGGGATTACCCAGCACCCTCCAAGCATTACGGCGATGCGCAATGGAGTCATCTTGTTTCTGTAAACCAGAGGCTGGCAGCAGATAGCATAGTACCTGCAAGGAGAAAAGTGAGAGAACAACTCTCATCAAAGGAGACTTTCATGTCTTCAAAAAACTGTAAAGCATTTTCTCCAGCTTATTTCTCCTGCCTTTCAAAATAAAGAAAAAAATAAGTCTATAGCCTATTTCCATTGACTGCCTCTCACACAAGGAGCTCAGGATATTTTCACAGCATGAGTAAATAAGGTTTCATAGTGCCTTGCAGGGGAAAGCCAGTATTTTCTGTTTTCCAGCTAGGGAAAATGAGGCACAGATTAATGCTGTGGTTTGTCTGAGGTTGCAGAGCAAGGGAGTGACATCATATGCAGCCCTCCCCTCCTGGTGCACTTAGTCACAAAGCTGTCTACACCCTCCTTACTACAATGAATGAATCCACCTTCCTTCAGCCATAACTGAGTAAATGTTGGGGTTTTCCTAACTGCAATGGACACTTATTTTGACAAGACTACCAAAGGTGTTATTGCAAATTCACAAAGTGTTTCAAAGCTGTGAAAATGTAAAATGAAGTGTGTTTTTTCATAACCAAGCTCCCTTTCTACCACCCAGGAATCAGCTTCTTGTCCAGCTGTGCTTTAACCTTCTGCCAATAGGACAGGGCAAATGTGTGCACCAGGCTTCTAGTCTTTTCACTGTCAAAGGGATGTGCCCTGTGCTTTCCTTTCTCCTCCTGATCCATCCAACGTATTTATCGTACAACAGGTCCCTGCTCTTAGAATAACAACTGGCTGTGACGACTAAAAATGTCTTCTCAAAGAGATTCTGTTTGTTTGGTCCCCGTGCTACCCACCTGCTAGCAAGTTTCTACATCAGGAAGGTGTATCAAACCTAAAACGGGAAATCTCCTTGCTCTGAAATTAAAATATGCCCATAAGCATAGAAGATCAGCAACCATATCATCCTGTTGCAGATATTTGGTGGTCTTGACCTGAAAGTCTGTCTCAGGTTCCCAGTGAAATGTTTTCGATCTTTAGATTTTGGATTTCAGCACACTTTGTAGAAACTGGCCAGTACTGATGTCCCCACAGCTGTGAGAAGAAACAGGGGTCCAGAAACACAGAAGTGTCCATAAATTTTTAGGTCTTCTAAATAACTAAATACATCATTCAGTTATGTGCCATTTTCTTAGTGAATGAATAATAATGGTAGGTGTAGTTTCCAGATTTGGTAAGCAGAGAAACTATGCAATAGGGTGTCCCACAGGAAATGAGCACTGCATTGAAGAAGTGGCCACAATTTCAATAACTATTTATAATGGGAATGAATGATCTCTGTCAGCGGTTTCTTTGAGTCAAGCCTCAACATCAAAGTATAACATGTACATAGAGAGCCTCACTGTTGAATGACTATAACAGTTGATTTTATGAGGTCAGCAGAATCATGAATTAGAGACATTAAATTAGCAAACACACACCAAAGCTGGACCACTAACCTGAGGAGATGACTGTGAGAATTTCTAAGTGCCAGCAGCATATTAAAATAAGACATATGTGACTACACAGAGTTTTATGTGTATATGGTAGAGAGGTATCCTTGAGGTATGCCATTTATTTCATCATTTGAGTGGGAAACAAAAGGCTTCTGCTAAACAGGCACAAAAATCTAAGAATTTCCAAATTTTTTTAAAGACTTCTGTAGCCATGTGGAGTCAACTGAATTGCTTTTTGTGGAGTCATGTGGAGTCAATCGAATTTCTTTATTTTGATAAATCAGATTATATATTCCACACAAAGGGTTGAAATTATATCAAAGTGTCAAAAGAAAACATTTTTTAAAAGTCTCTTTGAAACAAGATTCAAAATGTCACCAGGGAAAAATGTTGAAACAAGCATTCAACTGTTTCAATTTGATCATTTCTACATTCTCTTCTGATTTCATGTATGCATGAAAATCAGCCTGTTCCTCTGAAAAGTTTCACTTTCAAAGAAATGGCATGTTTGACAGTAACTGTTCTTTTAGAGCATTGGGTGAAATGTTCCTCTCACGGAGCTCATGCAAACAGCCACAGCAGTCAGTGGGTCTGATTCCTGTCCCCACTAACAAGGCCCTCGCATCCCTTCCCTGAGGGAGAAGGAGAAGCTGAATAATCTACAATAGAAAACAATAGATTTGAGTTTGGTCCTGTTTAGAAAAGAGGACTGGATCAGAGCCCTCCAGCCTTTCCAACTTACATTTTTCCATCAGACCATGAGGACCATCAGTCAGATTTCAATATCTTAATGATTTCAGAGGATAGAATAAATATTTCTTTCGTTCCTGGGATAACTACCTTCCTCATGACAGCCACAATGTGTTTGTACAACTTTGTTCTGTGCTGCTAGAGCTTACTGCATTTGGATTTCCCCCTGCTCTCCAGATTTCTTTCCCGCAGGAAATAAACTGACCTTTGAATTCAAACAGGTATTTTCAGTAATGTTTTTGGCTGCTTATTAGGACAGACAGTGCTCCTCTTGGCATTATGTGCAACTGCTCTTCTGACTTTTATACACAAAGGAGATATATCTGGCATATTTTATTGTTTACTATCTGAGAGACACCTACTGGAAAGTGCTACCCAGTGCCGGACATCAAAGGATTCCTGTGATGTGCCCGATGGCAAGTTACTGCAAGTAATCAGAGACTACATTTATTTGCAGAAAGGGTAAAAGAAGAAATTCAATAAATAAATGGGAAAGAACAGGCAAGACACCAGCTACCATTTCACAAGTTGAATAAGCAAACAGAAAAGGAAAACCACGATACATTACTAATTAACTACAGCAGGAAAACAATTCTTCCAAGCAGTTTGAGTTATTACATTTCTGTACTTCTATCTCTGCTGCAGCTGACAGCATTACACTGACTTGTACATGCTATTAAAGGCCATTAGAGTAAAAATTATGCCTGTAAAAATGACATCTTAAGATCTCATATTTCTTCCCTCCCAGTGATTCAGCAGCAATTTTCCTCCACTTACATATCAAAAGATTTTTTATTTTTTTTTTTGCTAACTGCAGCTACCATGACTTCCCTTGTGTTCAGAAATTCAAGCTGGGTTCCTCCTGACCTAGACTGTTATTGGTAACAAGGTTCCGCAATCGGAGTGTGGGTGACAATTTTGCTGATGGTGAGGGAGGCAGAGAAGCACACCGTCCCCTTTTCCGTAGCTCAGCAGGATTTCCATTCAATGGCCCCAAGAATCAGAAATAGAAATCTGTGTATGCTAACGGAAGTCATTGAAGTTGCACCAATTTTTGCAGTAGCTGGTGAATTGATTTATGTGATAGTTTGCGCATTTAAGCAGCTATTTATTCACTAAAAGTAATTATATCTAAGATTATCAATAGTTTTAGTCAAAAGCTGAAATAAAGACATTTTCTTATTCTACATTTATGCTTCCTTTCAAGCTAAAGCTGTTTTCCTGTGCTCATAAAGAATATCTATTATGTACTGGTACGACAGTGTGATGGATGAATATAAAATGTAATATGAACACATGATTAATACGATGTCCAAGTTTAATTAAATATTAATTCGTACTATTATCATTCAAGACCCATGTTTCTGCAATTCCTTGAAAATGTTCGCTTGCCTGTTACCTACAGCAGAGCAGATGATGCGAAATGCATTCTCTCCTCCACCTCTGTTATGACATTCTTTGCTGAAGGGGAAATACAAGAATCCCTTCCTGGAGCTGTAGATCTTCCAAGTAGCTCCGTAAAGCAAAGGTTATTATAATACTTCTTTCCCATATCAGACATTTGCCACATGAATGAAGTGCTAACATTTTACAGATGGCTCAAAACAAGAAATCTACAACTCCTATGGCCTTACTTATGCCTCTTATGGCCAGTGCAGGTATGTCTGGCTACTGAGGATTTGTGACCTGCCCAGCAATCACTTGGTGGCTTGTGAAACACTGTGGTGGCCAGACTCTGTCTCAAGGAACACGAATGTGATGCTCCCTGGTCTTCCAGTGGAAGTTCCAATGATGTGGATGATGTTCCAACGAAAGCCAAGTGGATCAGTTCCCAAGAGTGTTACGAACACTCTCCCAGGATCTCCAAGAGGATGCAGATGCACCTCTATTATGTTCACAAAAGCTACAAAAAATGCCCAAAGTTCAGTGACTCAGTGCCCCAGTCTGTGGAGCAATCTTCTCCATACTCCTACAGGCATCACCAGCAGGAGCTGCCACAGTCACTCACATACACAGTGTCTGTAAGTTTATGCTAAGAACAAAATGTTTTATCCTTTCCCAACAGGACTGGCGCTTTGCCTGCCGGCGAGCTCATCTTTACAGCCAGTGTTACACATAAAACCAGAAAGCAGATATAAATGCTTGATGAACTGTACATCAGCAACACATTTGTACCTAACAGCCTTCAGCACTTCGGGTAGAGAAGACATAGTATCACAATCCTCAGCAGTAGGATCATGGACAGCTTGCCTAATGTTAAACTTTTGCATATGTGAAGACTGGAGATGACAGATAAGAGGGAAGCTGTGAAGCCAAAGAGAAAACAGACAGAAAATGAACCTCAGTTTATTCTTGCCTTGTACAACTGAATGTTGAAACTGCTGTGTTGGCCCAAGGCTTTTGTGGAAATATAAGTGGTGTAAAACATGGGGTTTTGTTGTCGTTTTGCCTCTATGAAAAATCCTATGCATACATGCACACACATGTATGCACATGCCCTGTATCACATCCTGCCTTTCCTCCAGGAAACAAATAGAAAAAAAAGATTCTTGAAAAGCACATCAACTTTTAAGTGATGACACCTGCAGTTATTACAAGTTTATACCTTCTAGGTTCTTGTAGACAAGAAAGAGTGAGGCTGAAAATTAGCATTGCATTTCAACACACGGGTGATCTAGATCTGACAGCAGCACAATTTAGCGGCGGCCCATGGCAAGGACAGCTATTTGTGGTAGTGGCTGTCTGCATACTCAAGCACCAACACGATGAGACTCCACTTGTGTACGAGATCTATGGTCAAGAATGAAATCAAAGGTCC